TAGCGAGGTGATAATGATTTCAGAGGCTTCAACGGTTCAATCCGGCTGTGGTACTAGCGATTTCTGATGGATTTGTCGAAGCTATCACATTCAGCCCAACTCAGAATCAGCCACGTTTGTTCAATAAGGATAGCTTGGACAAAAGTCTCACCAAAGCTATTGGATTTGGTGAGAATTGTGGGACGTAAGTTTTTTGAAATTTGTATATCTTTTGTCTTTTGCGTTTTTTCGTAACTTTTTGTTCATTCTTCTTTCGTTCCATGCTTTTTTTCTATGTTTTGGAGTATTTTTTGCACTCCCAAGCATTTTTACATTGAAAACAGGCTCAGCTGCACACGTTTTTTCTTACAGTTAAATATTTCACTCCGAATTATTTGAACTTTCTATCCAAATTCGTGCATGTTATTGGAGCGCTAAAAGCGGATTCGACAATACTTCAGACCACTACGAGATGCTCATCTTGCACTGGAGATGGACGATCTGCGCTTGCATGCTGCGTTCGAGTTAGGTATAGCCATGGGTTGCGACAATTCCACCGATCTGGCTAAGAAAGCTGCAACAGTTGGAAGTGTTGTTGATGTGAGTTAACCTCGAATATTTACATTTTTATCTTGCTACAGACGGTTCTTTTTTGATTGTATAACACGATTTTTGCAAGCTTTAGATGCTGAAGAAAACTATGACTTTGGATACTGTTCAAGAATTCTCTGTCGTTCCATCAGCAAATCCAAGTGACCATTTCACTCCAGATCAAGTGATTATGGTGACAAGGTTGGTTTGACACAAATTTGATAGATGTAAAATTTATATTTTGTTCTTTTCTCAAATGAATTCCTTTTATTTTGTTGCAGTGCTTCTATACCATATCTTGAGAACAAACAGTGCCTTTACACAATACCCGCACCAACTCCTCTCCTAAAACTATACCGCATGGGTAGCGGTCAGCCACCATACACGCTAGTAATGGCACTTGAAAAGGTGAGATCTTTTAAGGTCTGGTACCTTTTGAGACTTTTAGCTTAGATTTTCAGAAAACCGAAACTCTCGTTTTCGAAATGATGTCAACATGGTGTAATTCGCCCATAGTAGAAGGAGTGGATAAGATTTTAAAAGAGTCAACCATTATCTTCATGCCAGAAATCCCGCATACTCAGGTAGAGGTTGCATATAGTTG